AATGAACTCTCTTGTACAGACTCGAACGGCATTTAGCCACTCGAGTTGATCTTCGACGCCAAAGAATGCCTTGGATACTATCTTGCCAATAAAAAAACAAAATGGCCACGGTTGATTAAAGTCGTAGGGAATACCTGCAATAAGCTGCATGAGTGAATTGAATCGCTTATCAGAAAGCCTTAGTAGATATTAGCATAATTGCATCAGATATAGCATAATTATTGGTCCCATACTAGACAACGAAGTGGCTAATAGCTGCTGCCTCCAGACCCTGGTTTCGAACCTCAGCTGTGACGTCGACCGTAGGAACTCGAACGGTAATAGCTTTGTCACCAGGCAGCGTTTCATCCATAGTCAGCTCTAATTTTCGAATTTAGTCGCTGGGAAGAAGTTTTTCGAGATGAATCAAATTGACGAGAGAGTGAGGGGATATTGAGTAACCACATGGGCTTATACATCAGGTCGACCAGTCACTTGACAATATCACGTGACAGAATGGTCGACTAGTTGGTCCTCAACCCTTTAAGCATCCCCGAGTATTTCTACTTCTCCATTTTCAACCAGTTAGATAGGTTTGCATGGCATAGTTGGCGTCGTTGGCTTCTGGTTTTGCCACAGTGCGGAGACGACGTGGAGAAAGAACTATAGCTGTTGGCATTACACGGGTTGTCTGGACCAAGCATCACACGGCCTAGTAACAGGACGAGGCCTTGCTAGAATATGTGACTATCGCATAGAGGCAACCAAGAAACACCACAACACAGCACACTAACCACCTAGCGGTGAATGCAAAGACCCATCAGCGTGTAGCTATTGCTTGCACAACAGGCACAGCCTCAGCACAGATATTAAAATAGCTAATAGCATGCGACTATAACGGTGATTGAGAATCAACAAACCGTGATACCTCATGTGATTTCCAATTGCATCGCATGTAATAGTAGAGCTCGGGACACCTAGACAGTAAACATGCTGCAAGATTAGTTAGACGTATCGTTGAATGCGGAAAGTAGTGGATGTGCCATTTCCAACCGCATTCAACGGTGTAAAGGGTGAATGAATCTGTAACATAAATAAGGGGGTTGTCCTTCCAAAAACAAACTCCAACTACTATCCGAAACTCTGATATTTATCCCGTTTTCGCTAGATTCTGCCACAGTGAACTATTATTTCTCTATTATATATTTCTATTCGTTTCAAAGTATTGAAGGTATGGAAAACACCTTATATACGTACCTTAAACTTCCTGCTAATATAATAGGAAGAACGTGCGATCACATTGTCTATCATTATCGAGAATGTGGCCACACTAGTAGTGACGATGTTCGCCGCTGTGCACAAGCCAGACAAATTAATAAAAACTGCCGACGAGACACATGGGGCAGTGTTTCTAGAGGAAATCGGCCAGGGAAATGCCACCCGTGCCAGCTTTTCACCCCTCCAGATTCAGAACAAGCTGAGAACACGATGCGAGTTAGGCGTAGTCTAGCATAAATGAGTTTATTAGATGTGAGGCATTTTAGATGCTTTGTTATAAATACTGTAACTAAACTGGTTATTATTTAAATTATAGCTGAAAAATTACTTTGATCTTTACAATAACGTATTAAGAGTAATTGAATGGTACTATCCTGCTTTAAAGTAAAATGAAAGACTACTCTTAGTTAGATTGCATTTCTTATAGCATAAGATTTTACGTAGCTAGTTTCTCTGTGTAGTAATGCTGTTTTCTATCTTAATAATCCGCTAGGTATTACTTAGGCTAGATTCTTCTTATAGTTGTGGCATTAATGCAATACACTCTCTTTATCCGTTGTATGCAAGCTTTCTAAATACCTTTCTCTTCGTCAAAAAAAATTTTACTCCCCTTTTTTCCCCTAATAGCCTGTATTATTAATATCACCCTCAATCCCATCTCCCAGACGTTTCTAAATAAATCGCTGCCGCTGCCCTGCCTGCTGCAATTACTGGACGTACAACTGCTCTCCGCTTCAAGTCGTACGAAAACTCCGCGGCTAGGTAATCATTTATAACTGTCACAGCATGGGGTCCGCAGTAAGCTGGATTTCGATAACTTTGCCCAATGATCATTCATGCTATCCCTTGGCATTCCGAGAATGTATCGTGTGAAAGGGTGAGGTTACGCCTTTAAAGATTGCCAGCGGATCTAGCCGGTGTACGGTAAAACAAGGTTCCATGGCATAATAGTTGATAACGGTAAAGCAGTTTGCTTGCCAAATTTTTAGAGCTGCATGGGCTTAGTGCTTTTCGTGGAAGCCAATCCGCTGCGACTGTCTCGAAAGTCCTTAGGGTTTCCTTAGATTCTTTCCCACTATAGCTCGAAACCAGCTCTTGTCCCCGCCTCCCTTTGGAGCAAAGTTTTCATCTGGCGTACTCGTCTCCAGGAGGGCAATTACAGTGCGGCTTATTATGCTTGCCTTGCATAGCCTCGAGTCTTGTCGCTGATGGAATAGAATGCCCTATTAGAAACACGGTGGAAGTCTTGATACAGTAATTTGTTGGTGAGGGCTCCATTCTGTTGTCGGTTGTTCTCCTCGTTCAACAAATTAGTCGTAGCGGGCACCGCATTCAACGCCCGATCGTCTCACAATGCCAATGCCCTCCTGTTTCCCTACTTCTTCAAAACGCAAAGTCTTTTGACAACATGAAGAACATGAATTGCCGTCCCGGCGACACCTTAGCCACTAAGCTCAGGATCTTAGTAGCACTTCCTGATTCGCAAATATCGAACCGCCACACTTGTGGCTAAACACAGGACTTGGGAGGTAAACCCCAAGACAGATAGACGACGAGCCCCAGGCAAATCCATGGAGCCTGTATTCCCGGTTCTGGTGTGAAAGATGATGCTGCAGATGGCTAACCAATCACTTCCGCTGTTATGCAAGTCGGGATTCGAAGCAGATGGCATGTCAAGAGCCACAATTACACGTAATCTCTTGTATCATCGCCCAAATCGGCAGTTCCATGCTTGAGTTCCACTGGCTGCGTGGCGTCTTGGCAGTGAAAGGCAAGTGCCAAAATTCTATTGCCCGTTGCGACACATCCCGCGCGGCATCACATCTTTTGCGGGGCATAGGGGAACTAGAGTAATGATGCAAACCGCCTAGCCCCTGGTCCGAATTCTTTATCTACCCCGGATCTGATGTGTAATCTTTTCTTATTCGTCCAGGTGTTGTGGACTGAATGTGCGCGTCTAAAATGACCATCGTAACGTCATATCAAGTACGCAACACAATACCAAATGCCAGATGAATGAATGTTTGAGCGAGCATACATCGTATTACATGTAGGATCAAGACAATTGGACAGTAACAGAGGTACATGGGCATACGAGATGTTCTCTATTCGAATTGTATGCGATGATGTTCGTTTCAGGCGTCATCTGTAAAATAGTCACGACTTGAAGCACATACCACACAACTTGGGTATCTCACTGCTCTTACTTTGGCTTTGTCGGTGGGAACCCAGAGCTCAAAAGCGATGCCGTAGTCAGTGAGTTTCCGGATCATGTGTGCCTGTCTGCTTTACCACGCTACAGGCGACGTGCCCAGAACCTACAGCATGCCAAAGCATTCAGTTCTCCATGACAGAGACAGAGCCTTTCCCCTGATCAGTCACAACCAAAAGAAATATGGCTGGACTTCGGCTCTCCTATGCACTCATCAAATTGCACACAATCGCCTTTGTTTTGCACCAGACAGAATCAAGCTTTAGGAGAAAGAACGAGACAGGCACAAAGCCAGGAACATCGCATCGACACCTCGGTGACTACAGACCGCAATTTCCCTCCGTAGACGATTCTCGCATCCCAGTCCAAGGATTCAGACTCACAATTGGACTATGTGTCGCCCTTGTTCGACGAGCGCAGCCGGGCGACTGCCTGACAAACGGGATCAGCTCACCATTCCCAAACTGCGTACATGGCTATAAAAACCACCCAGACCCTCGCTATTTCGTGAATTAATCATAGGTGGGAGTCTCACCATGTGAACAGTCACATTATTGCTATAAAAACTAGCTAGTCCGCAAGTTTTGCCAATCTACGGATCCATTTACTTTATAAAAGGAGGAATACAGTGTTACTAGATGCCCTGAATTTAGCCACTTTTTAAATTAATTTAATAGTTCAATAATTCAATTAATTTAATTATATGAAAGGAGGATAGTAGGCCGACTCTTGACATATATGGATATTAGGCCGTGCGGCACTTGCCGGCGTTTATGTCGTTTGTCGGGATGACTATCCATGTTTCGTCCATGTTACAGCGTATAATATTATTCGTTCATCGTAATCGAGATTCGCAGGTTCTCATATTCAGGGGAATAACGCACAACAGTTGCAACGTCTAGTAGGTTATGACCTTCCTTGGCTGGAGCATCTATATAAAGTTGGCTTGATCCGCAGGGTTGGATTTTCATCACTTTTATGCGCATTATGCCTATTTTAAAGACTGTTTCATGGCTGGGAGGGTAGGACCCAATCGAATGATGTCGCGTTTGTCTTAACCCCAGCTTTACAAAAGCCCGGCAACCTTGGCTCTTCGTTCTGCTGTTTAAAACAATGAAGGGGAAAAATGAACAATGATTAAATAGTGTATATGAGCTCGTTCGACGGGAGGGGCGATCTGCTTGCAAATTGAAGGCCATCATACTCGTTACCGGCTCAATCACGACCAAACGAGTTGAAATGGGTCGATTAACTCGTCTTATCCCCCAAATGAGAGCGACGGTAAGATAAAACAAGTAGAGTCTGATATCACGACCAGCAGAGTACGCCACTGGGGTTGCCAAGGCCGGAAGAGCTATCCGCACAAGAACAAGTATAAGTATAAGAGAGCATCTTGGTCTGTCAAAGTAATTTGCTTCTTCTTTAGCCCCATCACCGCTCCCGTCGAAGCTCAATCAGCCTCGCCGCCTTGCTCCCATCTCCAGCACGTTTATATACACCCGGTTTAGTAAATCTTTTCCCAAAATTCATAATGAAGCCGCTTGCTAGTCTTGCTGCTCTCGTCTCCCTGGCTGCAACCGCTCCTCAAGCCGCCCGCCCCCTTGACGTCCAGTTCCAGATGGATGGCAACAGTGCCATCAGGGCTACCATCACCAATAATGGCAAGAAGGACTTGAAAATCTTCAGGACAGGCACCATTCTCGACAGCTCTGCGATTCAAAAGACCCGGATCACCGATGTAGACGGTACGCCACCCCTTTTCCTCTCATTAAGCTCAGCTTGCAAGCCAGAAAACTGGAAAAGTGAAAAAAAAAAAAACTCCAAGCTGACATGTCACAGGCAAGGCCATACCTTTCATCCGGCGGCAAGTTCGACATCCACTCATCGGGCGTCATGCACTTTGCCAACGACGACGACAACACGCTCATCGGCTCCGTCCCCTACACAACTCCATCACGGCCGAAATCCACGGCTCCGAGGCAGGCTCCGTCCTCAAGTCCTTCCTCCGGGCCGACAAGCGCGCCAATTTCCAGTCTGACTGCACTGGCCAGAAGCTCTCCGTCACACAGAGCGCGCTCTCCAACTGCGCCCGGCTCGCCAGCGCCGCCCCGTCGGCCGCGTCTTCCAACGACGCCAAGGTCAACGAGTACTTCAAAGACTCTAGCGCATCGACGAAGAATACCGCCGTGTCCGAAGTGCTAGGCAAGGTGGCCACCGAGTGCGGCTTGACCAACGGCGGCGTCTCCAAGTACTACGCACCGACGTCGCCGATCACTGCACAAGCGGTGTCTTGGCCTATACCGTCCCTAGTCAAAATTTCCAGGCCTACTGCGACTTGTACTTTAGTTTGCCTGCCTTGACGTCCCAGTGCCATGCCCAGAACCAGGCCACGACCGACTCACACGAGATTACGCACCTGAGGCAGATCAAGGGCACAGCTGACAATGGCTACGGTTACCAAAATGCTATGAAGCTGGATACCCAGAACGCTCTTAACAACGCCGACACCTATGCTTTGTTTTCCAACGCCATCCAAGTCAACTGCTAGAGCGCCGGAAAAGGGGGGGATAGGCCAAGTTTGTGTTGGTGTATGAAAGAAACACAATCTGATAGAATATATTTGCTTGCTTAAAAGCATACATGAGCATACTCTAGTATATTATAGTATAGAGCGTCATATCCAAGGACTTGGTCTGGTCGAATACGTGCAGCCTGCCACTGTCTCTATTTGTAAGACTCCAAGGCATTAAATTGTGACATTGAAACACTCTGATAGAAGGTTTATCCAGTTGAAGATCCGCGGATACTACTAACCACCTCCATCTAAATGGGATCATAATCGAGCTAGTATTTTGTGAATCTGTTGCACGTACCAAAGCTATGGTAAAATTGTTAATGCTGGTTCCTTTGAAGCGTCATAAGCAAAAGAGTACTCACAGTTTCGGCCGCGCCACCAATCGACCTCATACCCAGCACGCTGCTCAGCCAGGAAGGCGCAACACTCTTGGCGTACAACTTGGCTGCCTCGTCTTTGACCTCCTTGTTGAAAATGGTGTTCTTGGGGAGCAAGGGGTTGAGAATCGAGGGACGTCCGATGCCAACGAGATCACAGCCGCCGTCCTTGATGGCCGCCTCCATGCCCTGCCGCGATCGGAAACCGCCCGTCACCATCAGAGGCACGCCCTCAAATCTGTCACGAATCGCGTGGGCGAATTCAATAAAGAAGGCCTCGCGGGCTGCCGTCCGTTCTGACACGGGAGGATTGGCTCTGCCAACCATCATCTATTCTATGGTCAGTTACAAAGCGCACAGGTGGGATAAATGTCGTTGTCTAGAAAGACCCACCTCTGGGTTTTCATACGTGCCGCCGCTAATCTCCAGAAAGTCAATGCCAGCAGCAACAATAACTTCCAGTTGCTCGACACACTCCTCAAGCTCCTTTTGACTCTGGTGATCGACGCTGTTGAGCTTGATGCCGACGCAGAAATCCTTGGGCACAGCCTTCCTCACGGCCTCCAGGATCTCGATGACGATTCTGGCACGCTTCTTGGGCGATCCACCGTACGCGTCGGTCCTCTTGTTCGTTTTTGAGCTGAGAAACTGCGCCAATAGGTAGCCGTGTGCCGCGTGAATCTCAATCCCAGCGAATCCTGCTTCGTGTGAGAGTTTGGCTCCCTCGACAAAACGGCCCACAACGTGCTGGATGTCGGTCGTGTCCATTTCTCTCGGGCTGCCAAAGACGAGAGCGCTCATAAACCGGGCAATGAGGCCGTCGCCAAGCTTTACTGGCACCACGCTGGGCGCCATGGTCTTTCCAAACCACCCGTGGGACCCAGCTCCGGGGATTGATTGTCTGCCAGGGTGGTTCAGCTGGACAATTGTCGGTGTGCCGTCTCGGTTGCAGGTGCTAGCCCATTCCTTCCATGACCTCAGGAGCTGCTCCCGTGGAATGTCGCTGTTGACGGCGTTGTCGTCGTGCGTGCCGAGGTATGCAGCATCTACCTGCACATTGCCCGTCATTACCAAACCCCATCCGCCGTCTGCCCATGCGCCGTACGTCTCTACCAGACCTTTGTGAGGAAGCCGATTCTTGTCGCCCCATGCCTCTGCCAGCGCCGCCTTTGCGAGGCGGTTGGGAATTGTGAGTCCGCATGGGAGGGTTAGTGGCCTTGCGATCTCGAGATCCATGGCGATGGCCTCGTTTGTTCGCTTGACTAGTCCAGGTCGGTAGTTGAAAGCTGATTGCAATGGGTTGTTTTGAAGCTGCTAGTCAAGCAATTCTGGGTTGACGAGAGTAGTCTTGTTTATTACAACTTTCAAGCTAGGGGCCGGACGAACAATTAAGCCGTCATCAATAAGTTCGTTCATCTCCATTTTTTTCGTTCTAGTCCGACTTCCGGGATAGGAGGTTTTGGTGTGATGTTTCCTTTTCCTTAAACTCCGACGGAGTCTCGGCACAAAATTAAGTCTAGTTGGCCATGGAAGTGGATTAGCTCAGGAGTCAATTGTGGACACATCGATCCGTTCGAAACCCTTCCTGCCATTGGATGGAGTCCGTAGCAAACTCAACTAGGAGCCGAGGTAAATGGAAGTTTGAGCCTGTCCAGGGGCTTCGAAAAAAGCTTCTAGGTGTTGAGTGCTGGGTAAGTCGATGCCTTGATGTCGCCCTTTGTTGACGCGAAGTCTCCGAGGATGGAGGGCCAAGGCCCTGTTTGCTAATCGCTACCCTCATTGAAACAAAAAGCGCGCTAAATATAAGTGCTCATATTTTGACTACAGGGTCATGCTCCAAGGGTCTTGTGGAGATATAGATTTGGGGCCTTTGCAGCACCAAAGGATATGGATATTATTGGTGTGCGATGTAAATGTGCGTCCTAATGCTATTTCAGACAGGTCCCGTGTCAAGCAGGTAGAAATCGAAGTGATGTCCTGATTGTCAGTGGCCAGAGACAAATTCGCCACACACCATGATTAGTATGGCCCTTGGGAACGACGAAGTACGCGACCACTTGGCCGGGCAAAAGTTCTCAAATTGATCACTACTCCCGGTGATTGTCCCGGCGGATATGCGGGTCTAAGACGGGAGATCCGAAAAATTGCCGGACAAATGATGAGTAAACCTAATTCCCATATCAGGATGGCCAAAGGCCTCCTTCTCAATGCATATAAGCGGCATTGATTTCTTGGCAATGAGACGAACTCCTTTTCTTCACCACCAAAACTGCTATGCAAGCATATCGACCGATGGCTGTATGCTAGGCAAGTGTGCCTGTCCGTGTTGGTCGAAATGCAGCGATATTGCTTCTTGTATTACTATGAATCTCTAATGTAGATGATACCTGCATTGGCCACTGGTGTACGGTCAGCATCTGCGTCCCTTCACTAGCCTTGAGATTAAGCCGTCATCTACAAGACCTAGTGACTGCAATCATGGCAAAATTTTATATAATCTGCCTCAAAAAGAACATGCCCTAATCGCGAATGGACTAGACCTCCCTCATATTCCGTCAACATAATTACACAAGTCACTTGACAATCGCCCAGTCTAAACTAATGTACCATAATGTCTGTCAATTTGGTCACACTAGCTACTAGACAACTAATATACAAACGGACACCGTCTATTTTACACCTCAATATATTAGTAGAAGCTTGCTGACGGACGAATTCGTTCCGCCGTAGACGTTCACCATCAACGAAACCCAGCGCGGCACAAGTGATTGTCAGTCCCAAATTGTGATGATTCATGCATATTCCAAGCTATAAAGTCTTATCTAACCCAGCGTAGCACATAGCTCGGTTTAACCCCCCTCTGAAACCAATCACAGGGACAAGACAGGGCATTTATATCATAATCCAATCGTGACCTTCATGCATCATCCTGTTGTAGCGTTGAACCTTCTTTAGTTAGAGCACAAAGTCAATGTGACATCGGTCGAATCACGGCAGTCCTTGACCTGGCTACCAGCGAGAGGAGTGCCGTTAGACCAGACAATGGAAGGGCACGAGGTGTCGGCACTGCCCTCGACCAGCTTCTGTCCGGCAAATGCATCACCAAAGACATCGCTCAGATCGTACCAGACGGCGCCGTCTTTGAGGTTATAGGCAAAGATGGTCTGCGGCTGGCCGGTGTAAAGGCCATCGGGCTCCCTGGTAATCTTGAGAGCACGACCACCAGTCGTGGGGTCGCGTGAAAACTGCTCAGAATACGCCTGGCCAGGCTGGAGAGTATTTGGGTTCGAGATTTGGCTGCCAACAGACCAGACGGTCACGGGGAAGCCGCAGTTATTCTTGACAACGGCGTTGCCAACTGCCGAGACGGCTCCGGCAATAGCAAAGGTGACGGCCAGAATATTGGCCTGGCCGAACATTATGAAAAGTTATATGAGAGTTGAGAGGAGTATTGGTATGTTCTGGCTGTGGTATGATATGACACAACGGGAAAGTACTGCGCCTTGAGTGACTTCCTTCATCAAGGTTGAGGGGAGACAGGCCTGCCTTTTATAGAGAGGATCATGGGAGCTCTCGGGGTTTCCATTACGTGTCATTGATCGTTGCATCAGCCAAGTCTTGTCTACGCAGCATGAATGTTGCTGTTTTGGTACATTGCCGCCTCGTGTCATCAGCAACATCAGCCTTAGGCACAGAAGGCGAGATACGAAGAAGGGATAATGCCGAGTGGTTGACCCGCCTTGGCTGCAGGCATTGTCGCAACGAATACCACGTTGGAGCATGAGCACAGGATATTCAAGGCTACTGACGCCTCGATACGAGGCTGCCAAATGCAACCACTGCAACACGGATCGCCGGCTCTATTCGTATTGGTCCAGAACAGGAAACAGCTCCAGCTACAAAGGAAATGGCCACACGATTACCCGCGGCTCACGAGAAGTGTCATTCGATCTAGCGGAGGGATCGACAGTTGTCTCAGGCGCCAAGCCATCGTGTTCAATTCCTTCCAAATTGCGGGGGATCGGCATCACTGACAGGCAAAAGCCTCTGTTATTTGACCGCCCACGGCCTAGACTATAGGTTGCAATAAGGATCCTGACTGATGTGCATCTACAAAGCGGACCAAAAATAGACTTGAGCATTCTTCTTCTCTGGCAACTTATATTTGGGTAGGGCCACAACGGGCAGACGTGGGCGAATGAACTCAAGACAGCCCGTCTGGAGCTCTCGCATCGGTGAAGACGATATAGGACGGGGGATTTCAGCCCGACCGCCTCCAGACTTTGTTGACCTACGCCCGGTTTATGCAGCGGCACCGCATACAATATTGACATGCGCAACGTTGGGTAAAAGCTTGGGGGCCATGATAGGACATTGGTGTTGGAGTCTGACAGCTTCGCCGACATTGCTTTGTGGCCCCGGAGAGCCGGTAGCCAGCGCCGTCGTGTTCGGCTTGCGTCATTGTATCACGTCGGAACAATATGCCCACTCTGATTGAATGCTCTTCTTGGGTATCAGCTGAGGCGTTGCCCGGCTTCTGCCTCCGTCGGCTGTCATCCGATGTGGCCGATGTGGCCGATGTGGGTTGCGCGGCTCAGATTGTCACCTCCCGCCGGGGCGTATGACAAACTCTTCCTCATATCAACTCGTCCTCTGTACGGTAAAAGGCGAATCGGACGGTTCTTTTATTCAATTCTGCATGGACAGGCTCCACCTCCGCATGCATGAGCCCCCGCACGGCAGGTTTCCTCTTTGTCTGCCTGGGAGAAAGGCACGGAGAAGCAGAGAACTTGGAGGGCTGATTCAAAGGGTGCAAGTCAACATCAAGTTCTTCTCTTGACTCTGACACCAGAAAAAGGATTGCAAGTTCACATGCTCATTGAGAAGTCATGGACCAATTTTCTCCATCAAGTATTGCGAGTGGACCATCACTTGGTAGCGAATGGTGCTTGCAGACAAATTGGAGTTTCGGGCAAAGATAATTTGCATGGCTTAGTAGCCCCCAAAGTGCCCCCAATTAAGATATGTAAAGCCGCCCGAGATGAATGGGATGAATGGGCTCAGCTGGAGTTGCGCGAGGCCAAACTCTTATCTACCTCAATAAATGCTAGCATGAGAAAAGGCATTTCAAGCAAAGTCGTCGTATAATGCAGAAAACTTGGTCCCTCTCACTTTCCATTTCCCAGAAATCAACCTAGTGTTATACACAGGTACGAACCCAGCCCGAGACGACTTGCAACCGCTATCAACTACATAAGCCATCTTATCACCCCGATACTGCTATTGAATTGGAAGAGGGACATTGATTAACTTCACAAGAGACTTCCAATCCAGCACCTTGAGACAATAAATTATGTTTGAAAGTGGTCATCACACCGGAGGGTCGAACGCGTTACCTCAATATTGCATAACCACAGTCTACTCGACTAACGCATACCAATCAAGGCATGACTTGAATTAATAGTTCTCGTTGGGCCGTTGAAATTGACATGCCACTATTCTACATTCTTGATGTGGATGGTACATCACATGTTCTCGTCAACCACCACGACCACGCAACCACACTAGTGGCGGAGGATTTTGCTTACAAATTATATCGTACTTATGACCTCTTAGAAGCATGAAAACCCCGAGGCTGAATCAGAGTTTTGTGTCCTCTCATGGGAACAGTAAAATGATTTCTGCGCGGGCATTGAAATGTGTCGAAAGAGCTAGGAATGAACCATCCTATACGGGTCGTGGGTAGTTATTCTGCTTAGAGAATTCATTATTCGACTGAAAGCACATCGTAAAAGCCGTTATCCCTCTACAGGCGAAGATATGTCTATAGAGCCGGCTCCCGTGCTCAGCGTACCACACACATGGCCGTGTCGGGATGGCCATAATTGTCCCCTGGAGCTCGGAGCATCTATCGCCGAAGAGGCCTGAGACTATGACAAAACCTCGGCTGGGGAGCAGACCACTCTGCCATACGGTAAAACACTGGTCGGAAGCCCCGGCGGACCGTGCGACTAACTTGCATAAAGGCCTGGCATTTAATAACTACCGGCTTGCACAAGGGCTCGCGGATCAAACTATGCCAGGCTATCGGTAATTTAATCGTGATAGTTCCTGCAATAAGTGTTGCCCGACAGGGATTATCATGACCAAATAACCCTGCTCACCGGTGATCCTTTCACCAAATAGAAACGCTGCAGCTCGATAGGATCAAAATAAGAACAGAGTTTCTCCTCTAGACAAACCCAGGCAGGATAACGTGATAGCGTATGCATTAGTGCACCCGAAGTAGTCCACTTGTCCGACATATCATATACAGAATTGAGGCGCGCCCACCAGCATTCGCCAGTACAGGGACAGCTTACAAAATCCTAGCTGCCGAGGGGCCCCAGGCGGCGGAGAAATAAGGGCTGGTTGCACACTTCTGGGAAGCTGGTCTCGGTCGCCCCAAGTAGGCATCGACATATCGCCTCACTATTATTGAATATCATGAGCCCGAACGATCGGGCTCATATAAAGTTTTTGGAGCTATGTCGGCTATTTGTATACTGCCCCATTTAGTATAATTAGTGTAAATTTGCCCACTTTACGACTTATTGACCCGGCATGAGGTGAACTCTGGTTCATCTACGTTTGTCCGGCTGACAGAGTAGCATTCGGCCTCTACCACTCAATCTCAAGATCGGACTTCGGCTTTCGAGCTTGGACTGATGGGCTCTTGTTCAATGTTCATGAACAGTACTTTGGGGGGGCTTCAGATTTAGATCTCTGTCTCGGTAGTGTGAGCCAGCATACCTGAGGACTTGGACAATATGGCGAAAAGCCATTGGAGAAATGTGTACGTATGAAGTGTTGGCGGATTCACACGACGCCGGAAGCCGATTCAACTCAGCGAGATGCTTTTTTTAGAGCGTGGCACCGCTTGAGCTACTACGCAACGTACAGTCAATGGAGCCCGGCAAGAGGCAACACTTGATTTTATCCCAGTCTCTAAAAACCTGCGATGAGCTAATTGTATGGATGTCTCCGTGTCGGGTCCGACACATGCTTGGTCAAGGGGAAAGTCTTCATGCCTCCGCCCGTGCCGGTAGGGACATAGCCAGCACCGGGTTCGGAGATCGGGGAAAGTCAAACTGTAGTTCTTGCCATGAAAGAGAAGTTGCCGTAGCCGCGATCGAGCGCGAAGTAGTATTTGTGGACTTGTGACTTGAGTGCCTAGCTGACATGGACCAAGAGTGACTGCTTTGGCCTACATAGGGCCCTGTAAAAACGCGGCACCAGGATTGGCATCGCCCTAGTCTTGGTTTCTGCAAGACGATACCGGATTGCGATTAGAACCCAAGCAGAAATGGTCTGATTTTGCGACTGCCTTGTACGGGAGGTTAGTTGCCGAGCTTATAATGCAACTGATCGTCGCTGTTGCGCTCTGGTAATTTGCATGGCGACATCCATGCACCCTGCCAATGCGGCTGATGCTGCCACTTTGAATGTCATGTTCTCAAACATGCCCAATCAAACGGTGGAAGTCATCAATCCACTCCGGCATTATCCCAGCCTCTGGTAACCTCTGCGCCGTCGTGTTGATGCAGATGACAAAAGTCTGTCAAGTGTATCAAGGATCGCTAGTAAGTTACGCGAGAACGCATGTCTCAGTATATCGTCATGCGTAGTGGTCACAGCTTTAGGAGTGAAATTAATATAATCAGGAAAATCGCTAGGCTACCTGCCCCTGGCGTAAGCACCCGACTCTGCAGGTGCTGTTAACACCTTCGAAGCATGGATGTTTCGGATGAATGGAATGTCCCTAGATTTTAGCATTGCTGGGGTTCTCGGAATTCAGGACATTGGCCAACGCTCTTTTTACATTGGTTGTTGCCAGGTCTCTTCCACCATTACGCTTTCTGAACCAGAATTTCCAGGCAAACAAACTTTAATTCCATGTAAACTGCTCCGGCCGGACAGTCTCTACACCAAGACCACCTCCACAAGCCATTTTGAGTCCGGTAACTATTACAATGGCTGTAATTATGAAAGCTGGCGGGGGCATGGCATGGTCCATGCAGGTTGTTGCCGTGGCCTCCGCTAAGCCGGCTAAAGCCATATCCGATCCATGGTTTGCACACAGACATCGGAGAGGACATTTATTTCGCTTGAAGATTCTGAATTCTTTGGTCACTTCAAACTTTTTGAATTTTCCAAGCAAAACACATAAGACGCCAACGCGGCACACCGGCACATGAAAACAAGGTGCCAACTACGAGTAATAAGGAGCTAAATCACCACTCACGCCCTCATCCTTGCCCATTCCCAGTATGCTTCGTACAAGGAATTCTCGAGACGGAATAGTGGTATCTACTTGGGGAATATCTCAAAGGGACAGCCGGCAATGAGTTGGCTAGTCGCGAGCCGCACAGGTCAAGATCGAACGGGCCCAGCGCCCATGCAGCTTCGACAAGACAGGCAGTGTCAAATGGCTTCATTCTCCAAGAGGGCATGGGAGACCCAAATCTCTAAACCCATGACGCTGAAACTGACGAATCCAGATGGTCCCGAATACCCACTGACTATGAATCACCCAGTAGGGAATGGCCCCTCGCCTGTAGCGAGCATCCTATCGCCGTCTTTCTCTTCGCAAGGGTATGGGTTGTCAACCAATTAGACATACATGAGAGCCGTCTGACCCGAAATCATCGAAGATGGATGTGCAGTTGAAGCGATATAGTAATGGCTGAAGGTTAAATGGATATTACAAGAGAGAATGGCACCGTGGAATAAAGCAGAATTTACACCCGCTTAAGCGATACCCATATTTGGAATCAAATTATGTACCATTAGGACCACAAATACCCAGCCTGGCAGTGAGATGTAATCTACCTTGTGTGTGGACGTGCGCACGTGTGCATGCCTGTGTGTGTCATTTGCAACCACCTAGACCTTGATAGGTACCATCTACTTGGGCTACTGTATCTTGTTTTCAAAGCTTAACCACCTCCCCTTTTACAGAATGGGAATGCTTGTATCCAAAAAGACGATTCAAGAACCCCTCACATTTATTACTTCCCCATCCCTGGTCGCCAGACGCACCCTCAGACTATCATGACAAGATATCAGCCCTACGAAATGGGAAAGACGACATGTCTTTGTTGGCGGGTATTCAGCTTACAACAAGGTCCTTTCATTGTGACTGGGAATATTGTAAAAAGGTAGGTTGTGAACATTGATCTTCGTGGGGACTCCGTACCAACAACACATACCAGACGTTTAAGCGCAAGTCGGACTTGCAACGCCACTACCGAATTCATACAAAAGAAAGACCCTACGTGTGCACGACCCCAGGATGTGGCAAAAGCTTTGTTCAGCAAAGTGCGTTGAAGGTTCATAGCCGAATTCACACTGGCGAGAAGCCATATCAATGTCATTATACTAGTTGTGGGAAACGGTTTTCCGATGTAAGCTGGGACAAGATTCCTCATCATTTGTCGATGATACTGACGGCTTTGGTAGTGTTCTTCACTCGCACGTCACAGGCAGGTTCATGCAAGAGCGCGCCCCTTCGGACATGGTGGATATAATTCTAGGAGGTTGGTCTCCCTATGATTTCTATGCTGCATCTTTCGATTTTGACACAATGTAATAGCGTGGACCTAAAAACCACAGCGGCTGACTCTCGGTGTAACATATACCACCACAATATCCCGGCCGGCAGCACACTGGGATCCGAGTTTGTGCCTTGCTTACCGGCAGCTAGTCAGTTCGGGACACTCGGGCCTACAACCGGATTCTTCACCTACTACACGGCTTCTAATATGCACATGACACCTCAATCAACCTGCTTGGCTGATTCTTGCCACTACTTGGATCATGAAAATGTCTCCAACATCTATGATTATTACGGCCGGGACCTTGGAGGAAAGGTAGTTTGCCGGCCTCCCAGCACAGAGGAGGAAATATACTACATCACCGACGAGACCGGCCCCAGCATTGCAACAACGCATGCATGTTGCCCGCAGTACTCTCTACCTCAGCAACAATACGAAAAGGGATCCGCTTGCGAGGCAATGTACAGCTCCGAGAATACCAATTGCACAGACTGTAGTAATTTGGCGAATTTTGTCTTTTGCCATGAAGATGATTATATGATATACCGTGCGCCATCAACAGCCAGCTCAAGTGGCCAAGTGACGCTCCGCAGCTAGTGCCTAGTATATTGACCTAACATGAAAGACGACACAGCTTGTATACGCTGAAGGTACGACGACTGCGTGTTGAAAGAAGAGACTTGCGAGGTGCGTCTACTCTCGAGACCTCGGGGCACGCCCTGTATCCTACATTTCATATCTCAGATGCAATATATCGTTGTTAACATGTTCTTGGTTGCGTAGTTTCTTTTTGTTTTCCGTCCTGTATGAATGGGTGGTGCTCGAGAAATATGGTTGTTTTTCTTTTTTTTTCTCTCTATATTATTTCACAGGAGTATATAAATTGCATACTCGTTGTAAGTGTTGGGCTTGTCTGATCTTTTTTTTACATTTCAAGGTCTCCAAGAGGGAGGTTGGCCAAACGAGTATTTTCCTCACCCCCCTAGCCATAATTCCAGCATCAGCGAGCCTTGAAAGCAATTTTTGGACCTGTCACCTGGCCCAGTCGCCAAACTCATGCCGCCGTTTCCACGCTGATTTGAGGCTGATCGCTGTGTCCAGTGACACCAAACGCCACCGGCTCCAATGCCTCGGATTTGTCACATGCATCAAAGAGTCCGACGTACGCAGCCTCATCAATTATCGTATTCTTGGCGCTTGTTCAAAGTTTCTGTTCCTGGTGGTGGCGTGATTAAAGCTTAGACCACAACCGCTCACTCGATGGCATAAGTGCGATCCTCGATCTCAAAAAGCGACTTGGCATCGCAAATAGATCCGACATATCAAAGTGACAGGATGACGGGACTCGCCTACACGATTGGGTTATATATGACTCAAGCAAGAACCATCCGTATCTGGAGGTCCATTACATGCGATATGCCGCCTGCTACCCGGGGCACCCCGTAGAGCGCAATAGCTATTTACAGATAGCCTTCACCCAGACCTACATTGCCCTAGTGTGGGCATCTGAAATTCTGAGACACAGCTATACAAATGAATCAGAACCCTCCCCGGAAAATCAAAACCAGGTTCTCTCCTAATATCTAGATAAATCCGCAGGCGCGTAACGCTTGGCGGTCCGGTACTACAATTACCGCATCCTGTCATCACTCGTTTCCTCTATCTTCATCAGAACTATGACTTGAAGCTTTTTTCTCACTTCCAAAATGTCGCACAATGAGCCAAGCTGGCACAATGGATACAGCCCACAACGCAAAGTTGACATATACGCCACCAACTTGGGCCATGATGGTAATGGATGACAAGCCATAGCTGACGGCTTGCCAAGCCGATTCCGTACCTCGAAGAAGCGCCGCATATCGAACAACCTCACTATTATCTGTGGAAATGTTTTGAATGATGAAGTACCTAAGAGCGTCAGCGAGGCCCTCGAATTCATCCGCAGTGATAGTTGTACACTTACAAGAAAAGGTAGTTTACTTGGAAGCCTAGAGTAAGGAAGACAAAGACCAAGAATGCAGCCGCGAATCCCGGGGTGGACCAGTCGTACGTCGGCTGAGTATGTCGAAATTTGGTGACTAGAACTGTTGCCCACGTCCACCACGCTCCCTGCAGTATGACAATAAGCCAAAATGATGATCTTGCTCTTATTCTGTGCGAAATCGAAGTACGATCAAGCCAGGACTGCCGTTGGAAAAAAAAAAAACGTCAGCATTGTCACAGTGATTCAATCTGTGAGTCATCTCACCCCGAGTAGATTTCCACCGATTACAGCGATAATGCCGGATAGAAATGACCCCAATGCTCTGGCCCGGACCGAGAACCAGACTATGAATGTCAGCAACGAGTTCCATCTCCCTCAAGGACGCAACTCACGAGACAGATAAGTGAAAAAGACAGCCTCAGCAAACACAGCCTGGCCAATAAACAGCACAATAAGAAGGAACTTGTTGCTGAAAAACAGCCTCGTTGTGCGAATAATTTCCCTCCAGGGGTCGTCGAGAATGGACAGGTCGACCTTTTGACCATCCTTCCGTTCTACTTGATGTGGTCGGTTCAGCAACAAGGCCACAAGGGGACCAGAAGCTTGCAGTGCAATAAAGATTAAGAACACAGTATACGAGACCTTCCCGGCCTCGTCTTTTTCTGCGTTTAGTCCCAGGTTGATCGCGCCACCTAGAATCTGCCCTGCGAGGCGATATGTCAGCCAGTAGCCAAGAGCCTTGCCTTGGTTCCACGGCTCAGGATATGCGATTGCAATGGCAGCTTCGGCCATCCAAAACACGCCGGCGGAGATGCCACAGAGAGCTGCGCCCAGGATCACTAGCCACTCTGTCCCAAATCTGTTGTTCGTATAAAGGCCGGCTGCGTAAGGCGCGTATCCAAGCCTGAGCTCGTTAGCTTTGGAGCACCTTCTGCCGTCCTTGACTTGACTTACGTTCCAAATATCAGGGCGCCTTTGATTCCGATGTAGTGAACAAGCGCACTGGATACCCAGCATGAGACAACCATGAGGCAGAACGTCAATGCATTGGCGGTATTGACCAGGTATGGCCTTTGCGCGCCGCCGCCGCCCAGGGAGTTCATTGCGCCCCATATTCCTGGCGCCGCGAAATTACACAGACCAAGAATGGTCATGTTATAGAAGGTGGACCGGTACCATCTCACTGTAGACTGTTAGACGTCGCTGGCTGGCTTGTCCATGTCGTGGCGATACACTTACCCTTCTGCTGGCGTTGAACTGCCGCTGCTTCAGGTTCGGCCTTCGTTGTGGCGGACATGTTATGTGTGACTCAAGGGAATTTGAGTAATTTACCGTACATTGTTCAATCAAAGCAAACCCAAACAAGGAAGTCTCCGTTCTAAATATGCCATGTTCGTATGCTGATCTGATGGAGGTTGAAGTGGATAACATGTGCAGTGTCGCCAGCACCCAAGACAATCACGTCATCATCCTGGATGACTGACAGTTCAATCTGCGCTGTGGACTTGAACGCTGCCAAAGGCTTTGGATTTACCAGCAATGCTCCGACTTCGGTAGGAGGGACGCCGTCGCAAATCGCGAATCCCGCACTTCCACATATTATCCGCTGTAAATAGATGCCTTGAGCAAGCTAGTGTATTTCTATTTTGCCATCATGGTAAATCCCACCAGCTTTCATACAGCTCTCTCAAGTCTATCTCGCTGGGTTTCTTCAGATAGGACGTCATGTCCGACTCCGGGTTCAACTCCTTGCTTGTCTTGCCGTTCCCAAAGTACCAGAGAAATCTATTGCCGGTATCGCCAAGATACTCATACTTGAAATCCTCCCACCTTGGCTCTCGCCGAACTATACTCAAATGAGCCGCGCTACCAGGCCAAACTCCATGAACTCGAGACCCGGAGCGACCGCCGTTGTACCATGAGCTGCAGTTGTCGGACAGCACCGTGTTGGCAAAGAAGGCGTCGCAGTATTGGACAAAGTCGTCGGCAGCTCCGCTAGACGCATCCATCGACTTGATGCCTTCTCTCGACACTTTTCGCAGAATCTTTGCGAAATAGGCAAGTTGCGTCTCTACAGAATGTGGTACCGTCCCCGAAGGTCCTGTGCCATGTGGCCCATGCAAGAACAACAGGTTGGGAAATCCAGGCGTCGCCACTCCAAAATATGTGTAGGGAAACCCATAGACGCCATCTTGTTTCCACAAGTCGGCAAGTTTCTTGTCATGGGCGGTAATTGAGAACGCAGGAATAAGGTCTGGTCTTGATCCGGTAGCGCAAATAACCGCATCCACAGCCCGGTGCTTTCCATCTTCCGTTTCTATACCAGACTCGGTGAAGCGACGGATCTTTGTCTGGATGTAGTCTACATTGTCTTGAACAATTGCTTCCAAGTAGCCCGGCCCAGGAGTAAGTCGACGACAATTTGGCGAAAAGTCGGGCACCAATTGGTCTGCGAGCTCTGGTTTGCTGGCAAGGCGCCGTTTCATGATGTTGGTGAAGTTTGCCTTGAGCTCTGCATTTTCAGCCGTGCCGCGAAAGAAGGAGTCGAACCGTCGCCAGTACTTGTCCTCGAGCTCCTTCCTGAATTTGAGGTATGCCTCGTCATCTTGGAAGCCTTTCTGCTCTTCTTGGGATATTGGCTGTGCTGGGAGGGTTCTCTCGTCACCTGCCCAGCTTGTCGCTATCCACGTCTTGCTTCTCGCATAATGGTCAAGACGGGCGACCTTTTTCTGCAGGTTTGCAACGACTTGTATTCCGCTTGCTCCGTTGCCAATCACAGCCACTGTTTTCCCAGAGGGATCAAACGTAGCGTCCCAATTTGAAGCGTGTCGCAGGTTGCCCTTGTACTCTGACATTCCCGGATAGTCTGGTAGCTTCCAGTCATTAAAACGCCCAACTGCTGCGATGATAAAATCGTACTCTAGCGTTGATAGGCTCCCCGACTTGGTTTCGGTCACACGAAGCGACCACTTGCCTGCATCTGCGTCCCATGCCGCAGAGTCAACTCGGTGACCAAACTTTGCATACTTGTAAACATTGTACTTCCGAGCAACTGACTGCCAGTAGTCTCTTATCTCTTGCCCTGGAGCGAACTTGTCCGACCAGTCTTTCTTGGGAGCAAATGTAGATTGGTACACATGCGAGGGGATATCACATCGCACGCCAGGGTAGATATTCTCCAACCAGGTACCGCCCTATGTGTATATTAGCCGTGTAATGTATTCCAGTCACTCCAAAACCGACTTACAAAGTCGTTATTCTTTTCAATAATGGTCAAGTCAATTCCGGGGACTTTGGCCGGCAGGAGAATCCCTGCAAGGACGCCCGCCAAGCCTCCGCCTATAACGGCGACTTGGAGTGGGCGGGGTTCGTCAATGAATCTATCTATCAGTGAAACCTTGGGAAGCTCATATGAGAGCCCAGGTGGGCCATGCGAGCCATTGATGTCTTCTTGGAGTGCAAACCCATTGGTAAATGGCTGGACGTTGAGCGGAGGTGTAGTCCCGCCATTCGGACGGCGTTGAATATTGCCCCGGGGCAGCGGTTCTTCAATCGCAGCAGTCATTTGTTTCCTTTGATGTGGATGAACAGGAAAGCTACCGGCTGCTTCCAGGGCCAGGCGCTTAATACTTATGCCCTGTTAGACTTTTTCCAGTCAATGCGCGGGCTGGCTGTCATGTTGGCGTCGGCGAAGCACGTAACGACACCCCACCATCGCATCATCCAGCTAGTCTATTGTGCTTCCAGGGAACAAAGCCCTTTCAGGTATTGTTCATGCGTTGTCCCTGTCGAACTCAATTGGAAAGGTTCTTGTCTTGAGGCACGGCCAATTACGCGCGGACTCCAACGTCTGTTACTCGCCAGCCATGGCCTAGAGCCAAATCATGACGTACTTGACCATGGGGAACTTCCTGCAGTCTTGATATTAATCAGTGCAACATGACATGGAAGTAAACCTCCATATGTAACAGCATATATTAGCCTATCCCAGAGAACGACTCATTTCGCGAATCCATGGCAATAATTCCTTCAATCGTCCTCGTCAAGGGTGAGGGAGATGACTGCACGACGATAGCCTCTGTTCTTCCCCATCACGGCGAATGACATTACTTGCGCAATGGAGAGCACTCTAGATGACAATGGTTTCAGTTCTACCTCAATTCCTATCGTCCAAGGCAGTGAGGCTCCACATGACTCCGACCATACTGGTATACCTGGCAGCTGCCGCCAGCAGTGGGCTGTCTGACAAGGGCTTGATATTCAAGGGCTTGGAGTGAAATGACTCTATTCAGAATAACCTTGTAGGATGTCAGAGGCCCTTAGTTTCCCAAAAGGAAGGGAGGGATCAGTGACTACTATATACGTGAAAGGAACAGTTGTGCCCAAGGCTCCCAGCAGGTCATGTGTTCAGTCTGTGTAACCTCTAGGTCCTGTATCGGCGATGCCCCGTTGTTGGACGGTGAGATTATTGAGCTATGACCGTGTGACAGGCTGCGAGACTGGATGAGGATATGTCACTGTCTTGTACACGTGGAAACCCGTCAATCCTGCAACGTGGTATTGAGTTTTAGCATAACCTTGATTCATAATGCCGCAGATTTGTTCCGTCCGGATGCTGTACAGCAATTGACGAAGAGGAAGTCGTGTACTCCGATAGGTACAGTCATGACAGATGTCGCAACATGCTTTGTATTTACTTTCTCATTGGCTTCAAAAGCATATATTGGAAGTCGAACACGTCGCTCGAATCTTCTTTGCAGCTCCGACTTGAAATAGCCTCTTTTAAAAACATAGTATTGCCTTTTATAGCTCCATGCGTTTGATTCTATTACTATAACACAGGCTACGACGGATTCCTCGCGAATCGAAACGCGAATCATCCACATGGCGGCGCAGACGTGTCACTGTCCACGTCTTTTTGCCACAACAAGGATACCACCTTTCCTCCACCCTTTCCCGCAGGAAGCCTGATAAGACCCAGAGACTTGAATCCAAGACGGTGGGGGATTGCACCGCTTCGGTGATTGAGCTCATCATGCCTGATCTGAACATGGTCGGCGCCCATTTCAAAGGCCGTACGTGTCAGAAGCGACGCAGCGCGTGTTGCGAATCCGCGACCAGTAGCTTCATTAGCAAGCCAGTAGCCAACTTCGAGAGTATTGGGAGCCTTGGTAGCTGGTGTCATCAATCCAAACGAGCCACTGACGCGGCCGTCGACAATGACGGCAAAGTCGTACGTCTCTCCGTTATCCCATGCTTTGGATGTGAAGTCGAGGAATTGTTGTGCTTTGGTGAGATCATATCCGTCGGCAGCCCAGGGCATCCACCGTGCCAGCTCGACGGTCGAGTTGCTCGCTGCGGCGTATAGTTCCGCCGCGTCAGAGAGCTTCCATCTTCTCAAAACTAAACCGCCTTCAACAAGACGTTCCGGCGGTGCACGGATGGTCCTTGGTGGCGTGACATGCTCTTCGTGTTGGCGGCTGAGTGCTGGCCGTGATGCGGCATCTGGGCCCTCTGCAGGACTCGAGTGCCCTGCGATGTTGGTGGGGTCCGCAAGATTCATCGATTCAAGTAATGCCATGGCTTCCTAGGTTGCTGGGACATTAAGAATGGCATGAGGTTTACTTTGCCAGCTACCCAGATACCTATTTCAATATACGGATTCCGGAACTAGTCTAACGGAGTGCCGACTCCAGACATGGAGCCATCAATGTATGAATCAGCCATGTGGAAGCGCTAAAATCAGCCTGGTAAGGCTGAGTGGCTGCGCAAGAAGTGTTGCCAATGTGGCGCATCAGCTAGTTACCCTAGGTACCTAGATAGGTAGTCGGAAATAGCAACATTTGAAGCATTACCAGGCTCATCCCATGAACTTTCCTTTCGGGCTTTATCATCCAGGTCTAAGTTAATCTTGGTTCCGTACATTTGCGGCTAAATCGCTGCCTTGTAGAAATAATGAAAGAGGGCTGGCCGCTTGCATTTAGGTTTTAGACCGCAAGGCGTCTCGTCCGCATCTCACATTGCAGGGGGGCTAGTTACCCGTGTGGCCAGGCCACCACACCCATATCATACATATGTGAACAAGCGCACTTGCCAGAAACGATATCGAGGATTAGGAAGAGGAATTACCAAACGCCAAGGCGCGCAACAGTGGAAGCAGGAATAATCAGCTACTGCTGCAGAGTCTCTCTGACAGTATAGGTGTTTTGTGCATCCACACCCGGCATCCACAAGTACTTAATCCGGTATGGTGTAGTGGCTAACATCGCTCGCTCTCACCGAGCAGCCCAGGGTTCGATTCCCTGTACCGGAGTTTATTGAAAAGGGTCGCATTGTCTACATTTTTTGCTTGTTCAATGTGATTGGTCTCTTTGCATCATTTCGTTTCTTTTGTGTTTTTCCTTACTTTTTTTTCTTGCTTCTCCGCTCACACTTGAATCACTATATTATCAGTTGAGTCTTGAGTCTGACGCTCAACGGCCACGGCTACACTGGCCGGCCTGCTAACCGACAGTGATGTAGTCTCGCCGTGACCAGCACAGCCAACCCCAGTGCCGCAAAAATAACCAGGCATGTTCCGAGAGCATTTTTCACGAACCTTTTCCAAGGAGTACTTCCATACAGTAGTTATGTTACAAGTCTAAGAACTTGGAAGCTCTGGAAATCACCATAAGGACCCGCTACTGCGACCAGTTGTTGTTGGAAGGCACCAATATTGCCATGGGTTGCGCCGCTTAGGCTGTCATTGAGTATGGCATTTGTCGAGTTTTGCCAGTCGAGATGAGAAGACGGCACGGTGCTATCTATTAGCACACATTGAACATTGCTTCCTGCAGAAGTAGGCTGGTGTCTTTCGCTGTGACGGCCATATCTCTCCAGGCGCAACAGCCGCCGTCAACCAAAGTGAGGCTGAAGGCCTCCTGCGTCACCTCATGCATTTGCAAAACCAGTACTCTCTTCAGCCTCATGCACTGCCCCTCATGTAGGCAGCACAACAAGACGTTTTGCCGTGGCAAGATGATATTATAAATCTCCCCAAGAGGGTTTTCCTCTTGTGCCCATCCATAGACCTTACAACGTGGCCATCACCACCAACCCATCTTCAACTTCTTCGGCCCCGTGTCAAAGTAGCGCTCAATTTGCAAGAAGAGTAACGAATTTGTACTCCTCGCCATGTCGCTGCCCAACCAAGTCGTGGACGGGTTCAGCCTTACCAACCGATGGCTGCTGTACACCAGCTTCATGCTGTCCCCAGCGCAGTTCATCTCCGGAATCGGCAGCAACTGTCCCAGCAACATTGGCTTCCTCGCATACAACTGGTATACCCAGCTCCAGTGGTACAAGGCTGTCCGGGGCAATGAGCTGCACGCATTGTCGCTGCTGCCCGTCCACTTTAACTTGATATACGTGGTCACATACCTCGGCGGCGTGACTTCTAACAACATTTTCATGGCCATGGTGCTTGGCATGGGGACGGCGGGCGTCATCGTTCTAAACACGGTTTCTGCATGGGTGAGCTGGGCAACGAACCAGCCCGACGGCTTCAACGAGTACCAATTCTTCTTTTTCGGATGGCGCACCCTGACGGAAGGGTGGCACAGGTTTATTCTAGTGTGGCAGATTAGCGATTCGATTTTTGCACTCGTCAGCGTGTTTGCGGCCATTTACACCGCCATCCGAATGGTGTATCTTGACGAGGTCGACTACTCGTCCAAGATAATCCCGTGGCGCGGGGATTTAAGCAGCGGTATTTCCAGCTACAAGTATCCTGATATTCTGATCGGCTCGGCAGTCATCATGTTTGGAGGGTGGCCACTTATTCTGTGGACGGAATTGATTGTGCAGCGAAACCACATCGAGTCGGATACCGACATGGTGGCCGTGTGGCTGTTCATTGCCCAGGCTGTTGCTATGATTGTGCCGAGTTGTGGGAACATTTGGGAATTAATACCGTTTGGCTGCCGGCGGAAGAAATAAGAATTAAATTTTCACGTAGTTTTATGGCAGAATGTAGATGCTTATTAGTTTTGTCCTGTCTTTGCCATACCGCAGGGTCGCAGAACTATAATATATATTTGAAATAAGCGCACCGCGATGAATCACCATCTGCTAGCATCTGACGTTTCGCCATGCGTTCATGGTGTTTGACTCGGTAGATTACGAACCTCTGGCTGAGGTACGACTGGCTACATTGTGTTATCCTCACTGGGCCCTACCTGATGTAGTGCTTGTACCCTTATTAAGACAGGTCAAAATAGTAAAAAAAAGATATCGAAACTTGATATTATTATTTTTTATTATCAAATATCATTATTAATACTATTAGTCGGGCTAAGTAATTCTGGAGATGGAAGTTGACATGGCCAAGTTAACATTTTATAAATCAATATTGGTGCCAGTAAATGCTATGAAACATGTTCAGGTTGGCGTAATATTTGAAAGACTTACTATTAGCCTAGACAAAACTGATTGTGCCATGGCCCCTCCTCCGACGCCAATACTATTTCCCTTCACATTACACTTGACAAAAGCTGCACTTTGAGGAGTCACGCTGTCCACGTCTTGTGAAATCGTCCCCACAAGGTCAAGGGTTCTTTCTAGCAAGCCAGAAAGCTGCGCAACCATCATTTTTACAGAGCCGAGGCTGGCATACTTGTCAATGTTAAGCTAAAATGACGGACACCATGGCACGACAACCATACGTCCTTGACATGTCGCTCACGGAGAAAGTCCGCACAAAGAGGTCGCGCGACTCCGTGGCCGTAATTCCGCGCCCAAGTCGTTCCGAATGAGCCTTTGTCACTCTTAAAAATTCCAGGGCACCCTCGCCGGGTAGATCCAGGCCTAGCCCATGGAGTATAACCCATGATATCCCTTCCTTGCTACTCTGGCTATTAATGCCAATGAGGCTATTCAATGACCGTCCCACATCTAGAGGATCAAGGGGCAGATACGGAACCTGCCAGCTGGGTTGCTTCTTGGTAGCCGTCATCGCATTGCGGTGCTTGGCCATGCCCTTTCTTATGGAACCTTGATGTGAGCCACTCCATGCTCTGAAATACAAGTCGCTAGACTAGGGTGTCCGAGGATGGGCAGGCCAGTAATTTCTTGGTATACATGGCGGATGTACGGCGGCTGGGAGAAGTTGAGCCCCGGCTTGACTCCTTGGCGAAGATGGTTCAACGCCGTGGTGACAAGGTCAACATTGCCGGCTCGCTTGCTATTGACGAATAGACACCCCTCTACATGGTCGGCTCCTACCAGACAATGCAACTCGGCGGATGCGACAGCACACCCACGGTCGTTGTGGGTGCGCAGGGATATACACACAGTCTCGCGATTGGAGATGTTTCTTGAAGAGCATTCCCTTGCTCGGCGTAGACACTACACACTAGAAGCTTGGCTCAAGATGACTGGATTCTCTCACGAGGGGCTCCAGGCATTCCGAACTAATTCCCCTAGACGTAGATCTACTTCCAGCCGACTGTTACCAAAGTCTTCCATCCCAAAACCAAATGACCAATTTGTCAGCGAGCTTGCAATAGGCTCATCTTTGTAATAGAGCGAACATATTCGGTGCAAATTCGAGCTCGCTCTAGTAGTGTTTCTTGGCTGGCCTCGAATATCGTTTCTTGATAGTTGTCACTGATAGCAAGGAAAGTGAATATAATAACATTGGGAACGCCCTTGACGCTTTCCACTGTTCTGGCGAGGGATTCTTTCCGACAAGGGCTCATCACCTCAATGGCGGCATCTGCCGGTATAGCGCCAGGGGTCTCGACGAGGCTCCGAGTAAAGTTGAGTTTAGTCCCTGAAGCCCAGAGGAAGGAGGCTTCGATGTGCTTGGAGCCCAGTCCAACTAGTAGGTGGAAAATTTTCCATTTCTGCTTAATTTTCTCGACTACAATCAGCAAAGAAAAGCTTTTCAATCAACTGCTCCTTACCATTGGATTTACAAGGGCCTGGTTGCCATCACGTATACCTGTTGCCAACCGTATTGGAGCTTAGCCTTTATAATGGCCATCGTCGATCTTTCGTATTCAGAATTGGAAGCTGCTTCTGATATTTGGCAGCGCTATTATGTTCGGGATGGGACATGGTAAGAATTGAGGCAAGAAATATCGGCAGCCTTTTGTTCGCGCGTCTAGACTGCTCGTCACCCCCCCCTTGTGCTTTGGGCTATACCGTGCTTTTAGCTGGACACGAAGGGGATGGCTGGCAAGTGGGAATTCTGGAGAATAAGCTAGTTTTGGGCCTAAGGCCCCGACTAGGTCTCGAGCCCTCGTGCAAGTATCGTCAGGTTCAAGGGATGGCCTAATGCCTACATTGCTATGTGGCCTCTGTGTAACACAATTCACCTCCAATAGCTTCAAATTTGATCAATTGTCACACGGTTGAGACCACAACAGAGGCGTTGGGCCATCAAGGGTGTTACCCAATAACAAGGAAGCTATTACAAGGTCCGAGACTACAAGCGAGGGCTGCATCAGGCCTTTAGCACACACCGACGTCTTGTATATATAGAGACCCTGGTCCCTCAAGACTTTGAGAACCAAGGACCTTTAATGTCTCAAAGTTGCTTATTAAATATTGAATTGAACCCTTTGTTCCAAGCCCAGTTATCCTGTCCTTGCCACATCAATCGAGGTTCCAAATGTCTACCCAATAACCACCTTGTCCGCTGTGGAAATTGCTATCGTATTTTCAACAACAGTAGTCGTCGGGATCTTTGATAACAATGCCTTTCATCTCTGCCCCTCAGTCGATATTATATCCGCCTACCAGGAGGCCTTGGGATACACGGGAAGGAAGTTGGCCTCTCCGCACTTCTCGAGGAAACCCGCCGGCTCGCCGACGATGGGATGGCTCCTGCATGCAGCGAGCTGCTGCTAGGGGTGCTCGGCTACTTCGGGGCGTGCTGAATTGGGTTTGCCCTCCTCCGCTGATGGGTATTGCGATCGCCGAGTATAAAAAAATGCTTGCATTATGCTCACGATCGGCCACTGGCAGCGTAGAGACACCGGGCTTCGGCTCACCTAGCTACCAATCGGGCATTTCTAAGGCCCAGGAATACGTTGAAGCCTGCGATGTCATGGCTAGCGAATGGAAGTCTGCCCTAGAGGGGTTGTGCTTGTGCACTGATAGTTCCGGCGATGGCGGCATCTTGATGAAACGGCGGAATCCTGCTCGACACGAGCGAGGCACGTTCGCCATCGACAGTTAAATATCCTGATGGTGCCGAACCTTGCAATACGGAGTACGGGATGATCAATAATGCTTGCGACGTCCTCACTGATATGGCCTCCCTGGAGCCCTGTAACAGCTTCCTCATGCTAAGCTCCAGGAATATGCTGGATAGAGCCGCTTGTTTCGTTCGAAATTACGCTACGTGGGAAATAGACCACGAACCATTGACTGGCAGCGCTGCCCTCGGCTTGATTTACTTTATAAAACTCAACCGTGGGTCGGTCAACGAGAAGCTATGACAACGATACGAGTCTGGAGTTTTACCCGGCGACCGCTAACTGTGCAGGCACCACCACCAATGCTCCTCTCCTTATCGAATGAGAAGCCTTGCCGGCACCATATTCTCACCCTACTTCTTCTATTGCATTCCCTGGGTTGTTTGGTGAAGCCCCTTGTCGTTTCAGGGCCAACGACCCCGAGGCCTTGTCTTTCCTGCGCCCCGAGTCAACAGCTGGTGGCGCATTGGCGCGTTACTCGCTGGATATATCTATGCGCCGACCTGCCGACGCCTCTTGGCTTGTGTCGCCTCTGTTGTCACTGTTGCTTATAGAGAGTGATCTGGTGTATCGTACAGCGGTCGACTCTATACCCTTTCAATATATTGGCCCGCTGCTGCTAGATGACTACTAAGTAGAGGATTCACAGTGTTACACTCGTCTTTTAATAAAATTTTATATAAGCACTAAGATCAAGTCGCTTATTCAAGGTAATAGCAGTTGCTGCACTTTTACATTACTTTACTTACCAACTGCCTTAGCCGCTAATGATAAGGTAGGTATACCGCGAATATGTATACATACATGTGTAATTATCTCTTATTAAATTATTGAAAAGAAAAAAAAATCAAAAAAAGGGGCTAGATGGAGGGCATCTAGTAACACTGTATTTTGGCCGTACCTAGGCCAGGAAACTGTTACTAACCACGCATAATTGTCTCTTATAAGACTATTTATCGGAGTGCCTTCTTTTTATTACCTTAAAGTAGTCTTTTAATTACGATTTTATCAAGTAATACTACAGCTCTATTCGTACTGCATTAATGCGTATATCGTTTTTATAACGGCAGAGTTCAGACCCGGACTCTTTATCCTAGGTTGTTTCGAAATTTAGTCAACTCGTACCCCAGTCTAATTTTTTTTCGCTTGACCTACTTTGAAGTCAAGGAGTGGCAGCACGTGAGACCTACAGTCGGTACGTCCATGTCTTCAATGATGTCATTCTACTCAGCCTCTCACAAGTGCTGAAGAATGGCCAACATCAATTGATGTTATTCTCGCATACGGCCGGAAATACAAAACGCCTTTTATCGATGCTGTTCTGGGCAGATCGGCACTTTCCCGAGCGGTTGTGGGCGGGCACAGTAATCTGGTCCATGTCCTGCTTGAGAACAATGCTCACGCAGATGTCCTAGATTATTCGCTCCAAGCTCTATTAGTGTATGCTCAAACAAGGAAACGAGCCGATGCTTGGATTACTGCTTCCACAGGTCGTCGAGATTGACCGGCGCGATCCTCTCTCCTGGGCAGCTGAGCGTGGCTATTGCGACGTCATGATGTTGCTGCTCGAAAGAGGCGCCGATGTAGATTCGCCCAACGAGCAAGGCTGCATTCCTCTGTCCCATGCGGCGGCATGGCGGGATTCAACGTCCTGGCTGCCACGTGCAGCGGCTTGAACGATATGGGGCGGTAGGGTGCCTCGACGCTGTCAAGTCGTACAATGTCGACGTGGCCTTCTTTGATGGCGGGATGCAAGGGCGTTGCGCGCTCGGCGTTGAAGCGGTCCACGGCGACGCCCTGGTCAAGGAGTTGGGCACAGTTTCAGTCAAGCTCTTGGTCGCGGCATCATGGAGGCCGCTCCTCCGATGCGGGGTCTTGTCCATTCCAGCATGTGTGTTAGTCACTACGCTACCAAATTACGCTGCCTAGGGTACCTTAGCTGTTCGATTTCCACAACCAATTACAGTTACTTTAGCTGGATTGGTAGGTGGGGTGTATATTAGGGTGTTACGAACGACACTGCACAAGAC